CCAGCCAGGTTCTGTAGCCATGTTCTCTCACAAAAATATGAACACACTGCCTCCGTCCTCTAAAATCATTCCTAGCAGAACTGCCTTAGGCATACAGAAACAGGCTATTTCAAAACCACACGCATATAGACAACCCTGGGAATGCAGAAAATCCTGGGAATGCCTAAAGGAGGGAATTAATTGGCCCTGACCAGGGGAGTCAGGAAAGCCTTCCCGGAGGGGCTAAGAACCGTGCTGAGTAAGAGTTAACTGAGCTAACAAGGTGTAGGGCCAGGGAAGCAATATGCAGTGGTTTCCAAACATTTTTAAAGGAGTAACGTTTTACTTAAAACCCCAATTTATAAGATTACAAGCAGTAGCCCTGGATGAAGTAGAGATGAGACCTGCTCCCATGGCTTCCCTATACTATTCTCCTTAGCAGCTCCTAAAAAACTCTAAGGAATCCTGTAGTTTTGTTGACTACTGCTTAAAATTTACTGATAAAGTAGAAAAAACAATGACTTTGGAGTCAGCCAGAGGTGTAGGTTTGAATCTTTCCTCTGCTGCTTGCTGTGCATTTTCCTATTTTGGAAAATGAAGACAATACTACCTATCCCTCAAAACTGTTTTGAGGATTAAATTAGAAAACATACCAGCACAGTGGCTGGTATGTAACAGGTGGGCAACATGTGGTAGCTATAGTTGTAATTAATAGTGACACTAAGAATAACAAACATGGTGCTCTAAGCAAACCAAGCAAACAAAAACCCTTAAATACAAACTCAAAATGGATCACTGACCTAAATGTAAAATGCAAAACTATGAAACTTTTTGAAGATAACTAGGTGACCTTCAGTTTTGCCATGAGTTTTTATATACATCAAAAGCACAATCCATGAAAGAAAAATTGGTAAGTTGAACTACATTAAAATTTGAAAGTCCTGCTCTGAGAAAGATACTCTTAAGAGAATGAAAACACAAGCCACAGACTAGAAGAAAACATTTGTTAAACACCTCTCTGATAAGAGACGTGTTCCTTAAATAGACAAAGAACTCTTACAACTTCACAAAAAAACCAAATAACCCTTTTAGGAATAGGGCAAAAGATCTGAACAGACACCCCAACAAAGATGACATGCAGATAGCAAATAAGTATATGAAAAGATATTCAACATCGGATGGCATTCAGGAATTGCAAATTGAAACAACAATGAGGCACCACTGCACACACATATTAGAATGGCCCAAATCCCAAACACTGACTGCTGGCAGGCATGTGGATCAATGGGAAGTCTCGTTCACTGTTGATGAAAAATGAAAAATGGTACAGCCACTTTGGAAGACAGTTTGACAGTTTCTTATGAAGCTAAACAGTCTTACCACGTGATCCAGTAATCATAAATGAATTGAAAACTTAGGAGTACACAAAAACCTTCAGATGTTTACAGCTTTGTTCACAATTGCCAAAAACTGGAAGCAACTGAGATGCCCTTCAATAGGTGAATGGATAAATAAACTGTGGTACGTCCAGTGGGACATTATTCAGCACGAAAACAAATGAACTATCAAGCCACTGAAAAGCCAACCTTATATGCATCTTGCTAAATGAAAGAAGCCAATCTGAAAAGGCCACAGACTGATTCCAACTACATGACATTCTGGAAAGGGCAAAGGTATGGAGACAGTAAACAGGTCAGTGGTTGCCAGAGGCTTGGAGCAGAGGAAAGGGTAAACAGGGGAGTTTTAAGGCAGTGAAACTATCCTATATGATCCAGCTAACAGTGAATACATGACATTACACATTTGGTAAAACCCATGTTCAACACTTTGAGGGACCCTAATGTAAAAACTGTAAGCTTCTTTTAATAATAGTGTGAAAAGAACTTGTTGGAGAAAGTCGCACAGAAAATGCAAGCTCCTAATAAAATCCACTGGATTGAGAAGGCAAATCATTCCATGGCAGTGAAAGGACGGTCAACGAATGTTTTCAAAGAAATAAATACACAAATTTTGTTTTGGATTCAGGAAATCACTGAAAGGGACAAGAAATAATTGTCTTTAGTTAAAAGCCATGTTATTTTGAATACAAATACAGTTAATTTGATAAAGAACAGCATAACTTTCAGCATTATGAGGTATATTTTCCTAACTTAATGTTCCCCCATTTATAAAACATGTTTTAATTGTGAAATTGATGTATTTTACAAAATGTGTTTTGACAGCATAGTTCTATAAAGATGATGCACAAGTGTTGAAGATGGTCTAAATATAATTTTTTTATTAATATAGTTAAGTTTGAAAAAATTAAACATTTGAATTTTGTTACAGTGAAAAAAAAAAAGAATTGTAACAAATGCTCTAAACCAATGCCAGGTATTCATAATAGGGCAACCTGGGGAGAAGGGAAAGGAAGTATATGAAAGCTCTGAACTTTTTGTTTAATTTTTCTGTAATCTGAAGACTGCTCTCTAAAAAATACACACACAAAAAAAACAAAGAACCACCAGAGTAACAGCAGAAATAAAAGCATGGAGGTCAGGATGCAGAGCACATAGAAATCAGCTGTGTACTTCTGATATTTTTAATAGATTACTCTGGTGACATTGCAGAATACTTCTGGCGCAGGCAAGACAAAGTAGACAGGTTAAGAAATGACTGAAATAATGTAAACAAATAAAACATTCCTACCAGCGGTGATAGGAATGAAGAATGCATTTCATTCCTGGGGAGAAGGGACAGGAAGTAGATGAAACTGAGTGAAGCGGGGCACTAGAAACTAAGATGGACAAGAAAGATGGGTGAGCACATCTGAGGTTCGTGTGGGTTATGATACACTTGAGGGTCAACATGGAGTCAAAGGAGATGTCTAACAGGCCATCTGAAATGAGCCTGAAGCTTGGGGAGAGGTTGGAGCAGGGAGTAAGTAGTATATGGCTATACTTAAACTGTGAATGAATGAGATCACCAAAGAAAGCAAGTACAGCATAAATACAGTGGGCCTAGGACCACAGAAAACATCAATTTTTAGAGGCAAGCAGAACAAGAGTAGCCCTCAAAGAAAGAAAAGACATGATCAGAGGAGCAGACAGAATGGTGTCATAAAGCCAAGTATATCAGGTTGAAAAGTTGCTCAATCTTTGTCTTCCACAGTGTCAAGCTCATAAACCATGGCAAAAGCAAAAATTCAAGACTTATCTATAAAGCATATTATTGGGGATAAGGAAGTAAATGCTAAGAAATCCGCTAAGAGCTAAAAGTGGTTGCCCTTGGGGGAAAGAGGAAAAAGTGAGAGATTTGGAAATACTGGTTTTTCTTAACGAGCCTTTACCTAGATACAAACAAACAAAACAAAAACACTTAAGTACAAGGGAGAAGAGACCAGGATTGGTGGTACATTTCATGTAGAAGTTTTGGGGTTTAATTAGCCATCCATGTAATATAATCCAGGATATACAGCCACCATAGAAGTCAATGCAAGTTTCAATTACTAGAAATATAATATCCTCATTCAAATAACAGACTGAACTTTGTTAATCCTCACCGGAGGATATTTTTCCATTGATTTTAGAGAGAGTGGAAGGGACTGGGAGAGACAGAGAGAGAAACCTCAACTGGTTGCCTCCGGCAGCTGGGGCTGAGAATTGAGTCTGCTTGCAATCAAGGTACATGCCCACCACTGGAATTGAACCCGTGACCCTTCAGTCCTCGGGCCAATGCTCTATCCACTGAGCCAAACCAGGCAGGGCCAGACTGAACTTCCTAGATTACATTAGGGACAGATTAGGAACAGAGAATTCAATTTGGGTACCATATTTTAAGAGGGTCCAAATCCTATCTCTCCCACCCATCCTTTTTATCCTAGAGCTCCTACCCTAATTCAGGCTCGTAACACTTCACACCTAGGTAAAGCCAAGAGTATCTTAACAAGTTTGTTTTGGTTTTCATTTGTTTGTTTGTTTTTCTCCAAACTACCCTACATCTTGTATCTAAAGTAATTTCCTGAAAATTTATTTTGTTCATATCACTCCCTTTCTCAAAAACGTTAAGCAGTTTCCTATTGTCCAGTTTCTTTGTGGGACATTTAAGAACTTTTACAAGCTGATCCCAAACTAACTTTGCAATCCAATGTCCTGAGGCTTTCCCAAACGAACGATCAATTCCAGGCAGTCTGGCGTCCTCACTGTTCCCTGCACACACTTCTATCATCTCTATCTCTGCACCTCAGTTCCCTGTGCCCTTGCTCCCATTCTGTTCGAGCCTGCTCCTTCTGCTTATATGAGCATCGTTTATGTCAAGCAAGCGCCACACATTTTTTTAAAAATATATTTTTACTGATTTTAGAGAGGAAGGGAGAGGGAGAGATAGAAACATCGATAAGAAGGAATCAATGACTGGCTGCCTCCTGCAAGCCCCTTACTGGGGATTCAAGCCCGCAACCCTGGCATGTGCCCTTGACCGAAATCAAACCTGGGACCCTTTAGTGCACAGGCCGACACTCTATCCACTGAGCCCAACCAGCCAGGGCTAAGCTCCACACTTACTACTCGGCTTTCTTAGTCCCTTTTACTGCAAGGATGTCTCTCTCTGTCTTCTGGACTCCCACTGCATTTCCTACTGTGTCAATCTCTTCAGAGTCACCATGTATAGCACGACTGCACCATTAATTACCTTTTAAAATTACCTTTTATAAATATCAATTATTTGGAGAGCCATAAGCTTAATATGGAGGTCAACAATATCTATCATACTGTGAAAACCACCAAGCCTCAATCTATACTTTTAAAGACACCAAACCATCATTTACTCTTTTAAGCCCAGTGAATTCTTTCCCTTTCAAGGCCCTCCTAGCATTCTGTATTCATGTTCCACTCCACATATATCATAATACACAGGTTATATCAGTTTAAATTCCCCATCTCTACCTCACTACCTGGGCATTACATAGAGGCAGGAATTTCTGGCAGGACAGATACACAATCAGTATTACGTGAATTGAAGTACTCACCCCACTGGCAGTTCTGATGGGTTTTGCCTTTAACTTGGGGACCAAAACCTTTCGATACTGCGGTGGGACTGCGGCAATGATATCCACCAAGCGAGGCTGTGCTGAAAGGCCATATCTGGCAGCTGTCTTGGTTTTCACCCTGAAAGTAAAACATCTAGCATTATCAAGATCACAGCATTTCAAAGAAACGCTACCAAAAGAAATGACCTGTAAATATCATCAACTCCTCCTCTACCCTTTCATCAGATGACAACAGTGGCTTTAACAGCTGTAAATATCAGGGGCCTGCGACAGTGACACCATGTAGGTCTCATTCAAAATGGTGCTCCAGCTTCACAGGGTTCTGTCTTTTCTCAGCCTCGGCACTGCTGCATTTGGAATCAGATTAATTCTGTCGTGGGGTGTGTAGCAGCATCATTAGCCTCTACTCACTAGCACTCCTCTTCCTGTTGTAACAACCAAAAACGTCTCCAGATATTGTTAGGTGTCTATTGGGAGGAGTGAGGGGAACAACACCTGGCTGCAAACCACCGTCTTAGATAAAACAAAAAACAAAAGAAAGCTACACAAAAGTATACAAAGGATTGTATACATAAAAACAGAACATAAAACATACAGACTTTTACAATTATAAGGCAACCACTTGTGTAACCACACTTCAAGAAATAGAATATGATAAGAACTTCAGAATACCCGTTTGCCCTTCCCGATTATAACCCTACTCTCACCCCCAGGAGTAACTTTATCCCAACTAATAATCCCTTACTCTTCTCTATAATTTTACCAACTTTTCTTTTTCTGTTAGCCAAACCCTAACAGTCACGTTAACTTCTAATTTTAAACCCACCTAGAAATAGTGAGGTATTTGCATCATTTTCTACAAATGTTAACTGAGTGCGTGGACTGTCCAAAGACTACAGAAGTACTTGGTATGTCCGGAGGTATAAGGCATAGTCATTTCATGCTCTGTGTTTGCAGATAGGCATGAACAAAAATAAATGTGTGTGATAAAACACACACACACAACAATGAGTACTTCCAGCATTCAAGAGAGTAACTCAATGTATACTGGGGAGATATTCAGAGAAAATGGACCCAGAAAAAAGAACAGACTTCAGACATGCAGTGAAAACAGAAAGATGACACCGAGAGCAAATAGGATGGCTTATTCAGTGGTTCTCAATCTTCTGGCCCTTTAAATACAATTCATGTTGTGACCCAACCATAAAATTATTTTCGTTGCTACTTCATAACTGTAATGTTGCTACTGTTATGAATCATAATGTAAATATCATAATGTAAGGATGGTCTTAGGCGACCCCTGTGAAAGGGTCGTTTGACCGCCAAAGGGGTCGCGACCCACAGGTTGAGAATCGCTGGCTTATGTGAAGACGCAAAAACAAATATACACATATTTTAAGAAATATGGGTAGACCAACTTGATAGAAAGCAAAAGGTTATCAATGTAAAGGTGCAGAAATTTAAAAAGCTGGAAAAGTGGATTGAAGCCAGACCGAGTGGCCTTACATAATGGGCTAAGGATTCTGCATTTAACTCCATAAGCAACTGGGGACATGCTGAAGCTCCTGCACAGGGAAACGACATGACGACAGATGAGACCCTAATTGGACCCAAGGAAAATGATTCAAAGGTAACACTAGTTTCACTAGTGGGTGAAGGTTAACACAACTAATCAAAGATGACATCTGAGTAGGAACTGATTTTAAGGAGAAGCTAGCTTTAGCTTTAGATGTCTAAATAAAAGAGAATGATAAAAATTTATAGTAAGTAGAAATGCTCACTAGAAATAAAAGAGTTGTATAATTGGTAGTATAGCCAACAAGGACAGAAAAAAAACCTGCCAAAGACATGGTAGAAAAAAGATTAAAATGTAATGTCTTGCCCGGGCTGGTGTGGCTCAGTTGGTTGGAGCACTGTCCCATACACTGAGGTTTTGAGTCCCAGTCAGGGTACATACCTAGGTTGTGGGTTTAGTCCCTGGTTGGCGCTCATGCGAGAGGCAACCTTTCCATATTTCTTTCTCTCTCTCTGCTCCTTCCTCTCTCTAAAATCAATAAACATATCCTTAGGTAAGGATCATAGATAGGTTAAATAAATAAAATGTCTTCATAGTCAAAAAAGGATAGTTATTCCTTTAGCAAATGTTTATTAAATAGGCACAATGTTCTAAGGAAGGGGTAAAACATTATAGTATCTCAACTAACAGAGAACAGGATCTTAAGAAAAGTCATGCATTTGGTGAGAAAGAACCCATATTTCCACATCCCAGCTCTGCCAATCAGTCATTTATTTTTATACAAATTACTCAACCTTTCTGTATCAGATTACCCATCTAACAAATGATGTAAGTACCTACCTCATACAGTTTCTGAAAGGATCAACTGAGCTAACATATACAATGCACTACTAACACTGACTGGGACATAGTAAGTGCCCAATAAATGTTATAAGTTATTAGTATTATTAGTTATGGGACAATTTTGCCATGAGTAGCTGGGCAGGGCAGAAAAGCTAAATTCTTGAGTAAAAAATAAAGCATGAGATAGGAAACAAGTAGAATTTGATAATTTCATAAGAGATCTATTACCTGAGAGTACCTAATAGATCTCTTATGAAACCTTTTATATAGATGCACTTACTTATTTAGATCGATGTCTTTCCCCTGTTCGTGGGCTTCAATTAGTTGTTTAATAACATCTCCTATGGTCAGCATCATTAGCTCAGCAGGGCTGAGGTCTCCTGGAAAGATAATATTTAACAATGTAAAAAAATCCTATTATTCAGTAAAGGTGTTTTTATGTATTATCCCTTTTCCTTCCAAAATTATTCCAACCATGCCAAATAAACAGCTCAAGTTCACAAGACACTAAACCTCTGTTTACAGGATAATCATATCTTTGGTATCTTTATTTTAAAACAAACCTGGCTTCACCTATATATGGGAAGAGCTTGCTTTAGCTCATACACCATGAGAATGATAGCGACAAACACGAGGAGAAAGAACCTAACTGCCCAGGAAAGGACCAAAGTAATTAAAATAACTTCCTTTTATCTCCACATTTATAATTCTATTTACATGTCTTATTTCATCTGATTCTCAGAACACAGTGAGACAGAACAGGAATATTTGCCTGTCCCATGACAATGCTATCAAGGGGTGAAGTTGAAACTCAAACCTAGGTATCTTGCAGAAAGTAGAATTTACTTTGTAACAAAAAAGTCGAGGGTTTATACTAGGGACCTTAATGCATCTCTAAGATATAGTCTGTCCACCATCATCACCCTCTCACGGCAACTGGGGCTTCCCTTCTCATCTGAAAGGCAACCGCGGAAGCTGACATGTTCTTACATGACCCCATCCCTGCAGTTACAGTTGACCAGCACCTATCCACGTCAGGCCAATGTGAGCTTTTCGCCTCAAGGCAAAAACACACAATCTCTCCAATGATAAAAACTATGAGATTGCAACTTGGGAGCTGTTAGCAACCATGTTTCCTGTTCACACAGAAAGCTGGTGTTCCATGTTAATAAAGTCACCAGGAAGAAGCATAGAGAGAAAGCCCGCAGTTATAGAGCCCTTTCATTGGCTTTATCTCCTCTGAAACCTCACAATACTGTAAGGTAAGTATCGATAGCTCACTTTACAGATGTGAAAAATTAAGGCAAGATGCGATTGTAAGTGGCAGTTAACTCAAATCCGGGTCTTTTCTCAATAACTTCCATGTTTTTTTCACTGTACCAAGCTGCCTCTAATTTAATGAGGCAAGGCTAACACGAACAAAACCATCTGCAAGGGTTGAAAAAGTCCACCTAAAATCAAAGGCTAAATGCTTTCCAAACCACGTAGCTCAGCACTTCAGAGTTCTAGAAAGGCACCTCACTGGCCGTGTAACAGAGGGAGGGCTGGTGGTGGAGGTAAAGGAAGGGGGAGAGGATGGAAAGGGAGGGCCTCTTTCTCCATTTCCACCAAAGCAGCTCAGCTTTCACCTGTTTAATACTAAGTTTCTGCATACGAATTTGGAGGAAAAAGGAGGATTCAGGTGATAAAAATAGATAAAGATTGGAAACCCACCTGTATAGCCCTTGAGTGTATCAAGAATTAGCTGGAGATGTAAATTAGTAAGAACAGGCTTCATGGAGGAAAAGGCACAGGGGTCTTCAATGAAAGAGCAGGATTTGGACAAGCAAAACAGATGGCAATCCAGAAGGAACAATGTTAGGAGGAATTCCCTATCCTTGTAAGGAGCATTGTCTAACCAGAACACAGGCTTTCTGATGGAGTAAGATGTAGCCTAATAGCCGAAACCGGTTTGGCTCAGTGGATAGAGCGTCGGCGTGCGGACTGAAGGGTCCCGGGTTCGATTCCGGTCGGGGGCATGTACCTTGGTTGCAGGCACATCCCCAGTAGATGTGCAGGAGGCAGCTGATCGATGTTTCTCTCTCATCAATGTTTCTAACTCTCTATCTCTCTCCCTTCCTCTCTGTAAAAAATCAATAAAATATTAAAAAAAAAAAGATGTAAATAGAGCGTCGGCGTGCGGACTGAAGGGTCCCGGGTTCGATTCCGGTCGGGGGCATGTACCTTGGTTGCAGGCACATCCCCAGTAGATGTGCAGGAGGCAGCTGATCGATGTTTCTCTCTCATCAATGTTTCTAACTCTCTATCTCTCTCCCTTCCTCTCTGTAAAAAATCAATAAAATATTTTAAAAAAAAAGATGTAGCCTAATAGATTATAGGGTGCACTGGCTACTAGGCAAAGACATCTAAATGGAGTGCAATACATAGTGGAGAAATGTATAATCTCAAGTTTGGGTGTAAAAATATGAAAGTAGTGTTTAAAGAAACTAAGTTTACAAGAGAAAATGAGGATACAAAAAACGATTCAGACGGTGAAAATACATAAAATCTGGGTAATATGGGGTGGAGCGGAGGTGGACTAGAATGGAGAAAAAGAGCACATGTGTAATACTTGCAACTACACACACACACACTTTTAATCTAGGTACTAGGTGAAAGGCTCTTAAAAGGTAACACTGTAAAAAAAAAAAACCACACACACACACACACAACACCCTCAAGATTTACAGTAAAAAACTTGGATGATAGCCTCCCTCCGCAGCTCTCAACCCCTACTGGCTGTGTGATAATGAGAAGATCAGTAACTTCTAAACTCCATTTCCTTACCTGCAAAATTGGGATAATACTAGTACATACACATCTCACAAGACCACTGTAAGGATTAACTGAAATAATGTCTACAAAAGCCAAAGTACTGTTCAAAATCAGCTATTGATTAAGGTTAAGAGGATGGTGGCCAGAATGATAAGGAATAAACTATTTCAAGAGGCATTTCTAAGAGCTGATAGGGTTTGGTGACAGATGAAGTTAAAGCTGCCCATCTGACAGATTAAGGGACAATTTAGAGGAAGAAGATGACTAATTGGGGGCATGTAGAGTTGGATGCCACAGACAACTGAAGGTAACTTGGACACCTGTTGCTTCAAAAAACTGCAGCTGAAGTTAAGAAGCATAGTAACTAAAAACTGATTTTTTTAAAAATGTTTTTTGGGTTCATAGAGACAGTCTGACCCACCAATTCCATTTCCTAATTATAATTTAGGGCTGGAAAGTCATTTAACTCTTCGAATCGCTGCTTTGTTTGTGAAATGGGAGTGGTTATCAACTTCCAGACGATTAGCAAAAGCTCAATAAATGGTGGTTATTATCATAAAACCTGTGAGAAAATACTTGAAATCTGATTCCATCCAGTGGAGAAACTAAAGATGGAATTGCTCCGTGCTAACTCGGGAGGCAATAATACACATGAACATAAATGTCCCACGGATTCCAAGAAGAATTCGGGGTTGTTTTTAACTTACGGCTTGAAAAAGAAATCTAAAAGAAAAAAAGAAGGAAGAAAGAAAAAGAAACAACACGTGCAACGTGTCCTTAAAAGCCCTCAACAATTAAAAAATCCGAGCACGAGTTAAATCGACCGACCACGTTAACTACTTAGAAAACACACCTTGAAATAAAGTTTCTCCTGCCTTTTATGCAAAAGCCACCAACTGGCTGCCGAAGAGGGAGAGAGGGAGGGGAGGTCGGGTTAAACGAGCACAATAGGTAAAGCGAAAAGGGAGGGGCGGGCGCCGACGGAAAGATCGACCCCCGGTGGGAGGGCTCCGGGGTCGGCCGCAGGTTCCCGCGGGGAGACCGGGCCCAGCATCTGCCCAGGAAGGAGTCTGCCCTTCCCCGCCGCCTCC